TCTCTCTCTCTCTCTCTCTATATATATATATATATATATATATATATATATATATATATATATAGAGAGAGAGAGAGAGAGAGAGAGAGAGAGAGAGAAAGAGAGAGAGAGAGAGAGAGAGTCTCAGAGAGGGAGAGATATTTCTCTCTATAAATATATAATATATAATATAATTATATTATTTTTTTATTATTACATATTATATATTATATATCAAAGTTCGCCATCATTGAGAAACCGCAGTAATACCAACACTTACCCCTAATTACCAAGCGCGTCGATGCAACAAAATACGATCGTGGCGTCATTGAAGATTCGATTCGTCAACCATCGCCGAGACGTCCCGAATAAAAAATCATTGAATCCGTTTGCCAATGTAATCGGACATTTGCGATTAAGCAAACTGTTGCGACCAGAGACGACGAGAGTGCAGGGTCAACGAATTCACCGCGCTAGAACGGAACGAATGAAAGAACAAAGAGGGTGAAACGAACGGAAATCGTTTTGTTCCCACGTTTCACGCCGGGTATCGCATTCTCACACTCGCGTGAAAGATTTTCTGCGCAAGAAAACCGTCTGCCGCCATTCTCGGGCGACTCACTCGACGACGATATGGAGCGACGACGTTAACGAACGCTCTCTCGCTGCTCGGCGAGTCCAACAACAGGAAACGGGTTCTCTTCGTGGCCGGTGCAAGGGCGAATTATTCATTTGAAGAGTTATGCATTTAATTAAAGCGTCGTCCGCTCGATTCTTCCACGTGGCAAACTGGAAAATCCCATTTTTTCGATGTTCCGCGTCTCCAGAAAAAATGCATCAATCCTTCATTATCCAACGTATAGTTAGGCTCGTGTTTAGTCTAACAGTGTTTTGTGCTGTTTTGTTTTTCGTCATTTGATTGTTTTGTTAGTAGCTAAAGTAGATGACGCAGGAACCAGTTTGACGCGTGCTGCGATTTTTGCGATTTTTTTAATTGTTTGTAGCTCGTACGAAGGTCAACCGATTTCGGTGAAATTTTTAACATGCATATAACTTGTCAAGATTTACAAAACGAATTTTTTAAATTTCCTTTGTAGGCTCAGTTAAATAACTAAATTAAGAACTTTTGAACGTAAATGATATTTTAATTTAAATAATTCCGTGTCCGAACACAGTTCAAGGTATTGTCAAGGTTATGTCAAGGTCATGTGAAGGTCATGTGAAGGTCATGTGAAGGTTATGTCAAGGTCATGTGAAGGTTATGTCAAGGTCATGTGAAGGTTATGTCAAGGTCATGTGAAGGTTATGTCAAGGTTATGTCAAGCTGGGGTACAATGTAATTGAGGTACAATGTAATTGAAATACAATGTAATTGAGGTACAATATAATTGAGGTACGATGTAATTAAGGTACAATATAATTGAGGTACAATGTAATTGAGGTACAATGTAATTGAAATAAAATGTAATTGAAATACAATGTAATCGAAATACACCGTAATTGAGTTAAAATATAATTGAAATACAGTGTAATTAAGTCACGTAACTGAATGAACACAAACCCGAATTGTACACTACATCGTCGTGTGGTAACTGTTGCAGGTGAAACACAAGATGGCGGCGAGTTGAGGAGGCCCGCGGCACCAGCAACGACTCCGCGGAGATGGGACGCTCGTTTTCGAGGGAAGGTCACGAGCAGGCGCAGTAAGAGGGCGGCAGCAATGGCTAGGTGGAAATGGGTCCTGCCGATCCTCGCGTCCTTGTGGACCCTGAGCGACGCCTACTTGGCAGTGCTGTCTTCCAGCACTCCGGCTGGCACCGTGGTGTTCGAGGCCGGCGTGCCCCAATTGGGCGGTCGCCGGAAATACGAGGTCTCGAACGAACGAACCGCCTGGTTCGCCAGGAAGCTCCTCAAGGTACATCCGCACAACGGTCGCGTCACCTTGGCGCGACCTTTGAGCTGTGACGGACTCCAGTACCCGAGGGTCTTCACGTTCTACGTGGATTCGACGAGCTCTAGATTGGGCAGGCCGACGATCGACTATTACAGTTTGCCGCTAAGGATACTGATCACCGGCTGCGGCGGTGAAAACCGAGATCTAGCCGCGACCAGAGGGTGGATGGCGGAGACGCTGGCATCCTATGCCATGCCCAGCGCTGACAGGTGAGTCGAGGACGTTTTACTGGCGGTGCTACGTGGTCTGGGGGACTATAGTTTCTGGCCAAAATTCGATTTGTTAGTTTTTCACATTCGAACGAAATTCGTTTTCGTTTCTACTCCTTGGAACTTCGAAATCCAAAATATTAATAAGCTCGTAGGATAGTGGTGTTGGTTAATGTGGGGTGACCAATTGCTGTGCCTTTGTTTCGGGCCAGTGAACTTTATATTTATCGAATATCACGTATTACATTGTTTTATTCAGAGATGAACGAAACGAAAGGATAAAAAAATTCGAAGATAAACGAAATAAAAGAATACTGAAATTCGATAATAAACAAATTAATCGAATTTTAAAAAGTTAAAAAAAACAAATTGAAAGAATAAAAAAATTGAAAATATAAAGTTAATTAGAGAACAAATCGAAAGCACAGCAATTGGTCAGCCCACAGTAATCGGCTTCATTACCTTAGTAGATTGTTGCATGTTGCATTATAAAATAAAAAGAAATGGTCAAACTTGCCGTTAGCGGTTTTTAACGCACATTACACTGATCGATAGGTGACCAAGAAAAACCCTTGTGTGCAAAATTTCAACTCCTTAACTTTTCCGAGAGGGTAGTTACAGGGGAAATTCTAAGGTCATTTTAAGGTCATAGCGCTCATGGTAGCCAAGCTCTTCTCGGCACTAGCCATCACACGATGACGTTAAGAGTCCATTGCGTCGTTTAAGAGAACATCGATGACCTCGAAATGACCTTAAAAAAAGACGTTAACCAGACAATTTATCGAAACCGTTCAAAATGACGATATCATTTCATTTTTGGAACTTTCCTTCATCCTTCATGCCAACCGAAAAAAAGTATTCTGTTTCTCTTGATCCACACTGTATATAGTTCGGTAACTGACCAGAGGACAGGTCGCAGGAAAATCGCCGAGCAAGAAGATCGTTGTTATTTTCGAAATTATATTTTGTTCAAAGGATTTATAGTTTGATTAAATGATTTACCCGTGATAAATTGAAATCATTGCGAGCCGAGCAGGTAGATAGTGTCCTTAACATGTCGAAGTGGAATGGATTCACCTCGGATAACCATCGCCCGAGGCTAAAAATCTAATCATCCCAATGCAGCTGGGTCAACTTGTCTATCTTAGCCCGCAGCAAACATAATTTTCTTGCAACGACCGCCACAACGAACTGCCCTCCCATGGCGATCGATCTCCCATTCCGATATTGCCGGATAATTAGCATGAAACGGCTATCGAAAGTCGCGGTTGCCATTGCCATGAATCATCAACAAGCGACAGTCGCCTGCCCCAACATTCGTTCCGGTGATCCAAAGAACAGCCGATAAGATTCTCGTTCCCGGCGAACAGGTTCACCGAAGTCTGCCTACGTACGTCGCAGCTGGTGGCAGCTTTACGGGATTTCCTGCCTCAGACGGCCTTGAAGGAGTGCGAGACCCGATGGGGTGGCGTGGCGGACCCCAGATTCCTGATCGAGGGTGCGGCAGGTGACCTGGTCTCGGCTTCGGAGCAGTGCCTGGTGGACCCTCTGTGGAAGATCTCGGTGTCGATGAACCTTCGTTGCGGCATGGAGTCGAGGCTGACCGATGCCGAGCATCGTTTGAAGATCGTGTTCCACCATAGACAGCTGGACGACACGGATTTGGGTCGGCGGGTGAGGCGCGAGCTGAAGAATCAGTCGCCCTACTTCGAGCAACCGTTGTACACAGGGGCGGTGGAGGAGGAGAAGGAGCCTGGCGTTTATGTCACCTCTGTAAGAGCTAGGGACCCTGAAGGAGGAACCGTTAGATACTCGATGAGCTCCTTGTTGGACGCCAGGTCGCAGTCGCTGCTGTTCCTCGACCCTGTTACTGGCAGGTAAGAACTGGAAACAGTTTCGTTCGTATCCGACGATTGACAAGTTTACCAATAGCTTACTCGTCGTCCTTTCGCAGGGTCACGACAAGGGCTAGACTGGACAGGGAGAGCGTGGACGTTCATTATTTCCGGGTGCTGGCCATGGACGACTCGTTTCCACCAAGAACTGGAACCACCACCCTGCAAGTTAACGTGCTGGACGCCAACGACCACGCTCCCAGCTTCGAATGGCGGGAGTACGACGCGACAGTCAGGGAAAGCGTGCCTGTAGGGTCCACGGTGGTCACCGTGAAGGCAACGGATCAGGATGCCGGCAGAAACGCGGAGGTGGAGTACTCTATTCTGTCCACCACCAGTGGGAACGGTGTTCCAAACGAAGACGACGCTCTGACATTTCGAATAGACTCTAGGTCGGGGGTAGTGACCACTCGCACGCCCCTAGATAGAGAGAAGACCGAGGTCTACACGGTCCTCCTCAGCGTTTCTGACCAGGCCACGCCGCCCTCTGCTAGGAAAACAGCAAACGCGACCTTGGTGGTCCGCGTTTTAGACGACAACGACAATTACCCTCAATTCACCGAAAGAACGTACTCCGTGTGGATACCGGAGGATCTTGATTACACTGCCAATCCTGTGATAGCTCGCATAAGAGCCACGGATGCCGATGCCGGCAGTAATGCCGCTGTTAGATACGCGATCATCGGCGGGAACACGCAAAACACTTTTTCCATCGACTCTATGAGCGGCGACGTGGCTCTGGTTAAATCTCTCGACTACGAGTCGACCAGGAGCTATAAGATCGTCATTAGAGCGCAAGATGGTGGCTCTCCTGCCAGGTCTAATACAACGCAGCTGTTGGTCCATGTGAAGGATGTTAACGATAATGCGCCTAGATTTTATACCAGTCATTTTCAAGAGTCCGTGTCGGAGAATGTGCCTGTCGGGTACTCGATGCTGAGGATACAGGCGTACGACGCCGACGAGGGCGCCAATGCACAGATAAAGTACACCATAGGGGCTAGAGACTTTTCTGGTGCCTCGACGGAGAACTTCCCTATCACCGTGAACAGCGAGAGCGGCTGGATCTATACGACGAAGCAGCTCGACCGGGAACAATGTTCTAGGTAGCCTTTATTAATATAGCATTATGAACGACAAGTGTTGAAAGACAATGTAATTTGCGATTGCAACCGATTTATTTCATCGAACTTGCAGGTACCAGTTCACTGTGATAGCGGCGGACTCGGGCGAAGTGCCAAAGACAGCGAGCGCCAGTGTGATCATCTCGGTGACCGACGTCAATGACAACGACCCTTACTTCGACCCGAAGAACTACGAAGCTGTCGTGTCAGAGGACGATCCGCCGGGAACTCCGGTCACGTCCGTTACAGCGACAGATCCGGACGAGGACGCCAGGATCCACTACGAGATCACCGCAGGCAACACTAGAGGTCGTTTTTCGATAGCATCTCAGAACGGTCGAGGCTTGATCACGGTGGCCCAGCCGCTGGATTACAAACAGGAGAAGAGATTCGTGCTGACCGTCACAGCCTCCGATAGCGGAGGAAGAACGGACACGGCCCTGGTTTACGTGAACGTCTCGGACGCCAATAATTTCTCGCCTGTTTTCGAGAACGCGCCCTATTCTGTCTCCGTGTTCGAGGACGCGCCCATTGGCACGACCGTTTTGGTCGTCAGCGCCACCGATTCCGACGTGGGAAAGAACGCTCAGGTCACTTACAGCTTGGACACTGATAGCGGCGTCCAGGGTGCTTCGGAGTTCACTATCAATCCTCAAACGGGTGCCATCACCACCACGAAACCGCTCGATCGCGAGTTACTTCCAGCTTATTTGCTGACTGTAACTGCTAGGGACGGGGGTGTGCCGCCCCTCTCCGACACCACCGACGTGGAGATATCAGTCACGGACGTGAACGACAACGACCCCGCCTTCGAAGCCCCTCAGTATCAAGGATCCATCCCGGAAGACGTTCTGGTGGGCACCAGCGTCCTCAGGGTTTCCGCCACCGATGCGGATACGGATCTCAATGGGAGGGTGAGTGTCTCTAAGGGTGTCTTTGTTCCGCTTGGTTTCATTGTTCTCGAGTGACCTCTGTAATATGCTACGTCTCGAGTGGCTCTTAAGTGCAGGGAGGGCGATGAAGAGGGCGATGACGTTGGTGCTTTATAATTCATGAAGAATGTTTTGTTGCTTTGTGAATTTTCTGACGCTGTGGCTTATTAAAATTGATGCTGGCCACGGCGCTGTTGATTGTTCGGTCCTTTTTAAGATTAATGACTCTAATGTACAAGCTGATTCGCCTGAAAGGGGTTCAGGATTGTCAGATAATGATGCCATTCTTTCTTCAGGTTCGATACGCTCTGGAAGACGACGGCGACGGAGCTTTTGCCGTGGACTCGACCACCGGTATAGTTCGCACAGCGAAACCATTGGACAGAGAATCCGTCGCGAGGTACACCTTAAAAGCAGTAGCCATGGATAGAGGTTCCCCGTCTCTTTCTTCGGTGGTGCCAGTGATCATCAAAATCGAGGACGTGAACGATTCTCCGCCTGCGTTTGAGAACGATAAGATAGTCCTGTACATCGCTGAGAACTCTCCCATTGGTTCGACCGTCGGCGAGATCTACGCCCACGACCCTGACGAAGGTCCGAACGCCGTTGTTCAGTACTCTATAATTGGCGGAGAGGACTCGAACAGATTTGCTCTGAACGTCAGGCCGGGCGCTGATCGCGCGGAACTTATCACCCTTGAAGAACTGGACTACGAATCTTCTAACAAGAAGTTTGAGCTTGTGGTGCGAGCAGCTTCGCCGCCGTTGAGGTCGGACGCCCTGGTCCAAATCATGGTGACCGACGTGAACGACAATGCGCCGGTATTGAAGGACTTTCAGATCATATTCAACAACTTCAAGGACTTCTTTCCTACCACCCCTATTGGCAAGATTCCCGCGGTGGACGCGGACATCACGGACAAGCTGACCTACACGATCTTAGCCGGCAACAATGCGAACCTAATCGACTTGAATCGCACCACAGGCGAAATCAGATTGTCTCCGCAGCTTAACACGAACGTTCCTCGAGTAGCGACCATGGAGGTGTCCGTCACGGACGGCATCAACGAGATCAAAGCCACAATGATGCTTTCCGTGAGACTGATCACCGACAAAATGCTTCTGAACTCGATCACCGTAAGATTGGACGACATGACAGCGGAGGCTTTCCTCAGCCCCCTGTTGGGCTACTATTTGGATGGTTTAGCAGCGATTATTCCTTGCCCTAGAGAGAATATATTCCTGTTTAGTATCCAGGAGGACGCGAACGTAGACCGGAAGATCCTGAATGTAAGCTTCTCCGCTCGCCGGGTGGAGCCAGGCGTCACAGACGAATTTTATAGTCCACAGTTCCTTCAGGAACGCGTGTACTTGAACAGAGGCATCCTGGCGAGGCTGGCCACCGTCACCGTGCTGCCGTTTGACGACAATCTCTGCGTCAGGGAGCCCTGTTTGAACTTCGAGGAGTGTTTAACTGTCTTGAAGTTCGGCAACGCTTCTGGGTTCGCCAGTAGCGACACCGTGCTCTTCAGACCGATTTATCCCGTGACGACGTTCGCGTGCCGGTGTGCTATGGGCTTCACCGGAAGTAAAGAGTCTTATCTATGCGACACGGAAGTTAATCTTTGCTACTCTAACCCCTGCATGAACGGCGGGACATGCTACCGAAAGGAGGGCGGTTACGCTTGTTCCTGTGGCCCTGAATATGTGGGCGCCAACTGCGAGATCTCGCTAGACGGGGACTCCTGCTCGCCTGGGGTATGTAAAGGTGGCTCCCAGTGCATCGCTAAGGTCACAGGAGGCTTCACTTGCGAAGGATGCCCGGTTACAACTTTGGAGAGCGTGACGCCGCTTTGTGAGCTCAAAGCTCGCAGCTTCGGACCTTCCACTTTCCTCACTTTTGCTTCTCTCAGGCAGAGACACAGACTCCACATCCGTCTCAGGTTCGTTGCTAGTGCTATAGGCGTTAATAGATTTGAACATTGTTTTTCAGTACTAATTCTAAAATCGCCAACAGGTTCGCCACCGAGGCTCCAAACGGACTCCTCCTTTACAATGGTCGCTACAACGACAAGCATGACTTCATCGCGCTGGAAATCGTGGACTCTCAAATCCAGTTCAGTTTCTCACTGGGAGACAACATCACGAGAGCGGGAGCCAGCATACCTGGCGGGATATCCGACGGCCAGTGGCACGAAGTAGAAGTTTCCTACATCAATAAAACCGTGACGCTGTCCTTGGATAACTGCGACGTCGCTCTGGCACTAGAATACGGCGATCGTCTCGGCTCCAAGTGGTCCTGCGCCGGCAGAAACGAGCGGGTGCTCGAGGAGCGCTGCAGCATTGTTACGGAGACTTGTCACAGATTCCTAGATCTCACAGGACCTCTCCAACTTGGCGGTTTGCCCGCCATTCCATCCAGTTTCCCTATCACGAACAAGGACTTCGTCGGCTGCATCAGCGAACTGTTTATCGATCACACGTTCATTGATTTGAACTCGTTCGTGGCTGACAATGGCACCAATTCAGGCTGCCCCGAGAAAGCTTCGTTCTGTTCTTCTGCACCTTGTAAGAACAACGGCAAGTGCCGGGAGATCTGGTCGGGCTTCATCTGTGACTGCGAGGAGAATTTTGCGGGTCCCACCTGTGCCGACGAGGTGGGCAAACCTTGGAGATTTCATGGAGTTGGTATGCTGAGCTTTAACCCTCTGCTAAGACCCATCCAACTGCCCTGGCTAACAGCTCTCAGTTTGAGGACCAGAGCCAAGCAGGCTTTTCTGATGAACGTGCAAATCGGTCAAAACAGTTCAGTTTTATTGGAGATCCGGGAAGAGAAGCTGGTAGCCCTGCTGGATGGTACAGATATCATTCAAACGTGGAACAACGTGGCGGACGGCGAGTGGCACAGGATAGAGATCGTTTGGCAAAGTGGTCAGGTGTCCTTGGACATCGACTATCGCAACAGGCCCATGTCCTCAGCGTTACCTGCTAAATTGCAGGGACTCTATGTAGGCAGGATCTTGGTCGGGGGGCCCGAGCAGTCTATGATCACCGAGCTGCCGTTCTACGACGGTTGTCTTCAGGACATCCGCATCGGCACTAATCAGAGCGTTCTGCTGAGGCCGACGGTGCAGGAGAACGTTGCCACTGGCTGCGGTTCCGAAGAGGAGTGTAACCTTGATTGCCCCGAAGCTTCAATTTGCGAGGCGAAATGGAAAGCCAGCGAGTGCGTCTGTGCTGTTGGAAGAGTGGGTCGGGACTGCAAGCGAGTCTGCGACTTGAAACCCTGCAACAATACTGGCACCTGCATCGAGGACCACCATGCTCGCAGGTTGGCACGAGTCTGATATCTTAATACTTGTATGAGTTTAATAACTTGTTTGTTGTAATTATTGTTGTCATTCTTTCTCTACTCGTAGGGGGTACAGGTGCGAGTGCAGCTCCTCAGAGTATTCAGGAGAGTACTGTGAGATCAAGGCTGATCAACCCTGTCCTGCAACTTGGTGGGGCTCGCCTGTCTGCGGACCCTGCCGCTGCGACGAGTCGAAAGGCTACGACCCAGCCTGCAACAAAACTACTGGCGAATGTTACTGCAAGGAAAATCACTATCAACCCTCTGGCAAGAAGGAATGCACCCCCTGCGATTGTTATGCTACAGGCAGCTTCGGTCCTCGCTGTGATACAGAAACAGGCCAATGCAGATGTCGAATTGGGGTCATTGGGAGATCCTGCACTGCTTGTCCTAATCCTTATGCCGAGGTCACCCTAAGAGGCTGCGAGGTGGTGTACGACGGATGTCCTAGGTCCTATGCTGAGGGTCTATGGTGGCCCAGAACCAAGTTCGGCATGACTGCGATAGAAGACTGCCCTGGCAGTGCCGAAGGAAAGACATCCAGATCCTGCGATGATGCGTTAGGAGGCTGGCAGGAACCGGATCTTTTCAACTGCACCTCTGAAGCCTTCATCGAGCAGAGACATCAGTTGACCGCTCTGGAGACCAAGGATCTCACGTTGAACACCTACGTGGCCGTCAAGGTCGCCAAAGACGTTCATCGCGCAGTGAATGTGACCAAAAATATGTATGGGGCAGATTTGCTGATCGCTGAGTCTCTGCTGGTTATGTTGCTGAGGTATGAAGAGAGTCTGGTGGGACTGAATTTGACTCACAGCCAGGATAAAGATTACGTTGTCCACCTGGTGGGAATCACCAGCGGCGTCTTGATGGCAAAGTATGTGGAAAAGTGGGACAGAATCGAGGAACTTAATGGGGACACGGCTGACAACGTTTTGGAAACCATGGCGAAGTACCTGAAGACCCTGACTGCTTCGCAGCATGATACTTTTACTAATCCGTTTGAGGTCGTTGACTCCAACGTTGGTGAGGTCATTTTGGAATGATTATCCTTTAGATCGTATTATTAATATCTTTTTAACATAATCGTTCTGCTTCTCAGTGCTGGGTCTGGATGTGGTGACCTCGGAGAGCTTGTTCGGCTATGAGACAGCCGAGTACAAAGAAGATCCATCGGCATCCACTGCTAGGCCATCGGAAGCCGATCAGAAAGTTATCTTGCCAGACACGTCCGCGTTTTTGTCGTCACCCGCACATTTTGGTCCTTCTATCTCATTTCCAAAGTACAATAATTACATGGCGGACCCGAACAGATTCGATCCGTATTCGAAGATACGAGTACCACTCAGCGTTCTGGGGATCAAGCCTTTGGCGCAGGGAGAATTGAATGTGAAGAACAGTTTGGTTAATCGGAAGGCTGTGCTCAGTTATGTGCAATATAAACAATTAGGCGCCCTTTTGCCCCAAAGGTGATCTATTTAAATAGTCTGTAAGAATCGAATGGAAAGAAAAACTAATCGCAATACTTTCGTATGAATTTTTCTACAGATTCGACGACTCAGTGGCTGTAAGATGGGGTGTCGAAGTAGCTGTTGGCTCGCCGGTTATAACAGTATCCGTGTTAGTTCCCACCGACGACGGCTATGAATCCGTGACCGGTATACCTCTGCAGACACCGGTGCAGATCAGTCTGTGGCTCAGCGAGAAGGACGATTTTAAGACTAGAACTAATCCACAGTGCGTGCACTGGAGCACAGCGAGAGGGTAAAACACTCATACTTTCTAATAGAAGATCATGATAACGACCGAATTTCTTAATTTTAATTGCTTCGGAAATCTACAGGGCCGGTGAATGGAGCCGACTGGGCTGTACAACGGAAGTGGAGGACGACTCCCTCTCCTTTGGCACGATCGTGAACTGCTCCTGCCTGCAATTATCCACTTTCGCGATACTAACCGACGTCCTCGACCTGGAATACGTTCCTGAGCCATCCCTGTTGGAGGACGTGACCAGTTACAGTGCATTCATGCTCGCGTTGCCTTTGTTACTGTCTGCCTTGCTTATTCTATCTCTGATAAGAGGCGGCGGCACTAATTCGAACAACATCCACAAGAATCTAGTGATGTGCGTGTTCTTCGCCGAGGTACTGTACCTGATAGCGCTCAAGGCCAGGAGTCCTCTAGTCTCTAACGAGTTCCCGTGCAAACTCACTGCGATTGGTCTACACTATGCCTGGTTGAGCACGTTCTCTTGGACTCTAGTAGACTCCATTCATTTGTATCGTATGCTCACTGAGATGAGGGATGTTAACCATGGGCAGATGAGGTTTTATTACACCATGGGGTATGGCGCGCCAGCCATCATCGTAGGACTGACGATTGGTGTTAGAGCTGATCAGTATGGAAACTTCTACTTGTACGTACATTGTTTGATACTATTTACAATATAGTACAGCAGAGGTGGGCATTTCGAATAAATTCTTCGCATGAAATTTTATTCAAGAAATAATATTTTGAACATAATAAGTAAAATATTTACTGAAATAATGTAAAGAACAAGCAAGGAGTCCTTTTATAACAATTTTGGTTTATTTAATAAATTTCGAATAAAGTTTTATTGGAAATATTTCTTGCATAAAATTTTATTCGAAGAATTTATTTGAAATATTACTCGAATAAAATTTTATTCGAAGAATTTATGCGTAATATCTTTCGAGTATAATTATATTCGAAGAATTTATGCGTAATATTTTTCGG